AGGGGACCACTCGATATTAAATAATTTGAACTTACTGGTGATGTAGGGCCCAACCGCAGAGAAGGTGGCGTCGGATGTTATGTTGAACGGACTTCCTGGCTGTTGATTTGGGGTGAATCCCGATGGTAGTTTTTGTTCACACTGATTCTATCCGAACTTAAAGTTTCGCGATCGACTCACTGATTTTACGAATTTTGATTGTCGCGACTTATCGCTCGATTGACTGTCTATATGTTCCGCTATCAAACTGACTGTCTATATGTTCTCTATCAAACTGACACGGGGGTTGCGGAATCGCGATTTTTATACTAATCGCCGCAGATTACTCAAATTTGGATTGGTGGAATAGGTTTCGTTAGCTGGGAGTAGGATTTTCTTTCGCTCTTAGATTGGTCAAGATTTTGGGGGAGGAAAGGATGTTGACAGGAATCGATAGAGTGGGAAAGTGAAACTCCAAAATTTTATGACCCTAAGATTTATGGGGAAACGTACGTCTCGGGCGCCGAAAGGTCGCGGATGCATCGTCGCCACGGGACCACCCAGAATCTACCCCTGAACGTCGCGTGCCGTTTCTTAAATTTTATAATTACGAATTCGCGAGAATCGTTTCGCGACTTGATTGTTAATCTTGGCGTTAATCAGTCTTACGCTTTCCATACATATTGATTTTTATCTCGGAGCGACATTCATGAGGAGATAACGGATTCTTAAGTTTTAAGATGAAAAATAAAAAAGGAAAGAATATAAAATTTTAGAGCTTCGAGGAATTCGAGATCTTTATGAAAGAAAAGAGTCGCGTGAGTCCGCCGGACGTAACAATATAATACAACAAGTTATAGACATTTCGACCCAACATCCCTTTTAACTTGTAATACCGATTCTGTATTTATTTTATATTATGTTATATTTCAAAGATGTAAAAAAAAAAACACTAGTTCTTCGTTACTATGTATGTACAATTTCATATAATATTAATTAAAAATCTGGAGATACGGTAGTGTCTCGGTGCTAAGCATGGCGTGAGATAAGCATAACATGAAATAAATTGCTTATAGATATTTTTTAAAACATGTTGTTATAATAAAATAATTATACAGAAAATAACAAATTTATTAATAAGTTTATATGAATTATTTATTGATTTATATATATATATATTTTTTTTTTAAATAAATTAAAGTAATTTCACTACTAATTCTCTTAATTTCTTCATCGCAGAGCACTCAAAACCGCACAAGCCAAGTTGAAACAAGCTACAACTGCACAGCAAGAGGTCAGTATATTTCATACTTACTTACGGAGTATTGATAATAAGAAAAATATAAATTAATTAACACATTCTTCTTCTATTTATTAACCTACTAATTATTTGTCTTCTAACATTTTTCACGCTGCTTTTGGATACATACACGACATATGCTTCACATATCGGCGCTTATCCTCTGTGCGTATTTCCTTTTGGTTTTGCATTGACAATACAACGAACATAATAAAACAAAAATATTACAATTTTTTTTCTCAAAACGATGCTAATAGGCGGGACCCGCCGGATTCCTAAAAAGCTTGTTTTAAGGTCGATTTTTGTTGGGGACGCCTTCTCCGTTCTTTTTAGTACAATTTGCATATTATAAGCGAGACTTTACGAGTATAGACATATATACAAGAGATTTAAACGAAGGATTGATGTCGATCCGCTAATGGACAAAACCCACGTCGAGACATATAATTATTTTACGTAAAATGCTACGACCATTGTTAACGTATTCAATAATTATAGCAAAAGGATAATAACGATAATAACACAACAATAACTTGATATAAATATAAATATTGAGAATATATAAATATTGAAGATAAAATTATTAATATAAATATATAAATATAAATTTAATGCAGAAGATAACTTATAAATACATATTAATACGATGACGCGAGAGAAGACAACGGAAACAATAACGTTAATTAATTATTACTAAGAAGAATCCAGAATATATATACATATATATAAATATATATATATATGAATATATATAAATATACATACCTACATACCGGCGTATACACAAGAGATACAAATACACGCGCATCCATCTGTATATACATACTATAACTTACACGGCTGCGGAAGATATACATATGTAGATGTATATATGTATGCACACACGTAAATATAAATATAAATACGAGTTTAAATCGAGAGAAAAAAGAAAGGACGAAGGAAAATCAAATGGCGAAGAGCAGACGTGAAGAAAAAGAAGGAGACAACAAAGAATCGCGAAGAGATAATTTAACGAATGATTATTTAAATATACTGAGATAGAGAGAAGAATGAAGATTAAAGATAATATCTCATCACTTGAAGATGCACTTTCGCGTTCTTCGCATCGATCGATGCATGTATACGGATAAAAAATGCACATACACATACACATATACATATACATTCACCTTGATCTATTTCCTTCTCTGTGCTTCCGCTTTTGTTTTTGTTATCGTCATCCCGTACATTTTGCAACTTTGCCAACAAACGTCGCTTTGGCACGCATATCGCACGCTAGTCTCAGGATAACAAGGACGAGTCTTCTTGGCGAAAAGCATTAGAGGCGAAGAACCGTACCATATTCGAGCTGGAAAAAACGATGGAGAATCTCCAGATGGAGCACGACAAGTGTAAGGACCTATTGGGTGACGCGAAACACATTGAATCTTGGAAGGAGGAGACGGAGACGATGAATCAACATATCGTCCAGCTGGAGCAGCAATTGAAATGCTGTGAGGGCCTAAAGGACATTAATGGGCACGACAAAATATTAAACAAAGATATTGAAACGCAACCGAAGGCATGCAAAAATTGTAATTTAAACGCAAAGGATCGGCGTATCCTTACACTGGAGCGGCAAGTGATAGCCTTAAAAAATTCTTTGAAGAATTACACGAGCACTACGAAATCCTCAGAAAAGGATAACAGCGATGAGAAAATGAACGTGAAAGTGGAAGAGTCCTGGAAACAGGAGATCGAGGTAAAGAATCAGCACATCATCGAGCTGAAGCAGAAAGTAGTGTTGCTAGAAAATCTCCTACCGAAGAACGTGGACGCGCAGAAAATGCGCGATCTTGAGAAAAGGATCAACAGGAAATCCAAACGGATCGTGGAACTGGAGAACGCCGTAGGAGAACTCGAGGACTTTCTCAAGGAGGATGTGAAAGAGATGCGTGATCTGCGATATCAGATATCACTCGATAAAGAACGTATTATGAAAATGGAAAAGTGGATCCAGAAGAACAATCTCACGAATGCGGGGATTGATAAAGCAAGAATTATAGAGCTGGAGGAAATGGTAACGAATTTGGAGGATTATGTCAAAGAGCATGACATTGACGGCCTTAAACGAAAGTTGCAGGATCGAGAATGCAGAATTGTTCAGCTAGAGAATCAAATTTTTGAGTTGAGAAAACTGTCAAAATGTGAAGAAAATAAACCAGGTAAGTGAAATCACCACTAAATTTGCTATGTGTAAAAATTTTTAATTATATTAGTGTTTTTATTTTGTTTTTAGTTAGAGACATGCCGAGGGTAAACTTTCTATCTAATGAAGTAGCTTGTGAGTTAAAAGAAAAAAAACAAAAGACAAAGGAAGTAATGCACGCCGTTTTGGAAGAAGTTAATAAAGAGTATGAACAGGAGGAGAGCCTGAAAATAAAGTTGCAAGAAAAAGAGCAAAAGATGAAGGAAATGGGACATGATATTTCGGAAAAAGATAACAGAATTCAAAGATGTGAACAGCAAATCGTCGAACAGCAAAATAAGATTTTGAAAATGGAAAAAGAAATGGTCAAAATTGAAGAAGGATTTTACGAAACGGAAATCATTAGTGCACTGAAGAAAGAAATTAGACTAAAAAATGAGAGGGTGCAGGAACTAGAAATGGAGGTCAATTCTTTAGAGACATCGCTCGGCGAGAGAATTGATGTCGCGATTGAAGAGCTCATCGCCACCCTAAAGGAAAAGGAGGAGATAGAGCTTCAATTGAAGAAGAACCTCGCGGATAAAGAGAATAAATTGGAAGAATTGGATGCGGCTCTTCGTCAGAGCATTGCAATTACGGATGAGGTTGAGGCGAAGTTAAAAAATGAGAAGAAGCTTAGAAAAGAAGCCGACCAAAGAGTAAGTTGGAAATCTTTACAATATATTAAACTTATTTTATACATATTGTTTTAGTCATATTCGATTCATTTTATTATAAAATAGGCATAACATTTATAAAATATAATACAATTATTTTAAATAAAATTTATTTATTTTACAATGTAATAATTAATAACATCATAGTAACAATAAATAAAATAAAAAATATATTTGCAGAAAATCTGTAAATAATTATACATTGTGGATATTATACCGTTTGAATATCTGTGCTTGCCAATACGTATTGCCATTAATTGCGCTAATTCAATTTATTTTTTATTTTTAATTAATTACTTGAAAACGTTTCTTAAAAAATTATTTATTATCTTATCAGGTTGCTGAGATAGAGGAAAAAATCGCAGTCATGCAAGCTGCGTCAGCCATGAAATGCATCACGTGCAAGCCACTTCTTTACAAGATATTTAAAACCGAAGGGAAACTCGGCCAGTTGAATCAGGAGAAAACTGTTCAACTTCAAGAGTTGCATCAAATTAAGTGGGTGTTTCAATATACAAATAAAAAAAACATTTGTGTGTATGTGTACAAATATAATATACTTTTAATATTGCTGGCTTCCTTACAGGCGTGATGTTTTAAAAGCTGCTCTTTCCGAGAAGGATGCTCATTTAGCTTTGTTGGAACATTCAGGCATCCAAACTTCGACACAAGCGGATCAGGCGGCGAAACTAAAAGCCGATAAGAAAATATTACTCGATAGACTGAGGGAAGAGGTAATTTAAGAAATTAAAAAAAATCTTTGGTTTTTGTATGTATAACAACAAAAAACAAAAATCGTTGTTATTGATATTTTCCAGGATGAGAAGAGTATCAAGTTAGACTTGCGGGAAACAACATCACACTTATTTCAAAAAATATTCAATATATCCGATGACAGTGAGGACAGTAGCGATAATAATAATAATAACTCTTTTGATGATCGCTTTAGTACGATCAATTCACCAAAATCAGTTGCTGTGAATGATGACAGCTCACCAACATCGGCCACTACGAGTTGCAAATATTCGTAAGTTGTCAATAATATATTTTTTAATGCATTAAAAATAAATAATTAATCTTAGGAGATGTTTTACAGAACAAAGACGTCGCTGGTGTCCGATATGAAAGACGAGGAGCATTTATAGATTCATCATCAGGATACCAGATAAGTACTCGAGTACCACTTACGGTATTTTGGAGTATCGGTTTCTTCGTTACCTCGATGTTGTCATACGTACACACACCCGCGAACGTAGAGGCAGTGTATAGAACATCTAGTAGCAAAAAAGAAAACGAAACAAACAACAGCAAAAAACTCTATAATACACCACTAATATCAGCAACTACAGCAACAGCCAACACCCCTGCCTGTGCCGCTCATCACGTATCATGCATCTATCTTCATCATTATCATCATCTTTGACATTTATTCGACATCTCTCACCATTAATCGACATTTTATCATCCATGTAATGTATAGTGATTGAAAAAATTCCAAAGTAAAAATCAAGAAATCAGAGGCTTCTGCAGTCCGCTGATAATCCAAATAGATAGCATACATTCGCTTTACTATGGATGAAATATAACAACAATGGATGACATACGATGGTTTCGGATAATTTATTCTGACAATATATTAGGCATTTATCTTTTTCTCCTTTCGATCAGCGATATTTGAATCATTATAGACATGATAATTTATTATTGCAATAATATATTGAAATATGAATAGTTGTTTATTATATATAGTTTCTTACAGCCCGCAGCGTACGATTGTTAAAAAATTGACAATTGATTAGAAGAGCAATATTTTATATTTATTTCTTTAATATATTTAATTTTAGGTGTATAATTAAATTAGTGCTGCAACAAAATAAAAATTAAATTAGTAGAGAATTAAAAGAAATGATTAGCATGGACTTGAGTTTTGTTTCTTAGATTTTTAAACAATTCGAACATTTTAGAATATCCAAATATTTATAAATAAGATTTCTAATTATTTACGTATAACTATTTATAATTTAATTTGTTTGAAGAATTTAGCTTAAATTAATGAGTTTACATATATCAACATTACTTTATAAATAAAATTACAATTGGAATAAATTATATAATCCCTGCCGTCTTCGTCCTGCAAAGAAAAAAATAAGTGAATTAAAAAAAATTTAGTATAAGAATTTACATCATACTGCGTTTGTAATCAGAAAAATTAGCTTTATTATTAAATTATTTCTTAATTTTTTTTATTTCTGTTTATCTTAATATCTACGAAAATTATTCGAGAAACTGTCAATTTTCGAAACCATGTCTGTGATTTGCTGAAATTAATATTTAAGAAATCAAAAAATTCAGATATTTCTGAATGTATCACCAGAGGATCATATTAAATCACTGCAATCGTCTAATAGTAAAGATGGGAATATATAAAATAAATACACCGTTGTAAGTACTAAACGATGTGCACGAACGCGCTCTTTAGAACGCACTTTGTGGAAGATCGCGGAAAGCCAAAAGAACGTAGCCGAGGCACTAAAGAATATCTCTTGTACATAATATTTACGTTATTTCTTCCACCCAATTGTCCCGAAAGTAGTATAAACAATTTCTTAGAAACTTC